CCCCACAGCCCACAGACCCCCACAGCCCACAGACCCCCACAGGGGCACCCGCTACCCCGACCCTGAGCCCGGGAGACACTCCAGAGGCCTCTGTCCCCACAACACTCCTCCTGCACCCCCCACCTCCCGAGAACCCACCCCACCCCCATCGCCCCAGCCCCAGGCACCAGGTCCAGAGGCCCGAACAGGAAGTGCACAAGCTCCGCTGCGCTGGGGTTCTGAATGTGCTTCTGCAGCTTGGCCTGTGGGCAGGGAGGCATGAGCGGGGCGGGTCAGACCGCCATCCACCCTCAGCACAGACGGCGGGCAGGGCTGCCACCACCGGACTCACCAGCAGGTTGATTGCCAGCTTGGTTTTTTGGAAGCAGTCCACAAACTCGACCTCAGAGGGGGGCCGTGCCCGCAGCGTGAGGACACCCTCTGGCAGGGGAGGCTCCGTGTGAGCCGGGCCGCCCTGGTCTGCCCAGCCCCTGTGCGTTCGGTCCCATGAAGCCCACCGTGCAGGCCGGAGCTTCCCCCAGCTCCCTCAGTGTCCCCCCGTGACGTCCCCATCCCTGTCCCCGCACCTGCTGGCCCCTTCTTGCCCTTCTTCTTCCCCTTCTTCCGCTGGTTCAGCTGCTTGAAAGCCTCTGCCGCCTTCTGCAGCCGGGCCACAAACCACTCAATGTCATCCAGGGCGCAGTTGAGGATTTGCTGGGGTCAGAGGGGTCAGGGGTCAGCCTCTGACACTCCCACCAACCCGTCCTGAGGCAGGGACAGCCCCACAGGTGACGGGACGAGCTGGGGCCACACCTGTGGAGGGGCAGCCACCGGCTGAGGACTGGCCAGAGGGAGAGCAAGGACCAGTGTCCACCACCGGGGATGGGGCAGGGAGGGAAGGGCAGGGACCGCCTGCCAGGCCTGGGCACCCACCGTCTCCTTCTCTATTTTCTGAGCCAGCACGGCCCTCGGCTCTTCCTCCTGGGACTCCTGATGGTGGAAGCCTGCCAGGGGACACGGGGCTGCTGACCGAGCCCCCAAAGCCAGCCCCCTGGAGCCCCCGCCAGCGTCCCCGCCTACCTGGCTCCCTGAGCGGCACCTGCGGGCCTACGCGGTTCTTGGCCTGTGGGGAGTCCCCGCCACGGTGCTGGAAGGGGATGGGCGCCGGGCCCTGCGGAGGGGGCAGGATGGACTGCCGCTGCCGGATCTTCTCCTGGTGTCCCCTGGGGGGTGAGGGGGCCCTGCTCAGCCCCGCCGGGGCCACGCCTGGCCCTCCCTCCCTGCTCGGCCCCTTCCCCACCTGCCCCCTCGGCCCCGCTCTGCCCGCAGCCTACTTCAGGGTCTGCGGCCGCATCTTCTTGCCCAGCCGGCAGTCGGCCAGCGCGCTCTCGATGTCCTCGTGCACCAGCTCTGCCTGGGAAAGTGGGGGGCGGGATGCGGGCTGGGTGAGGGCGGGCACGGCGCTGTGGAGACCCCCCTGCCCCCCGCAGCGCCGCCTCACCTCCACCTCGTCGCAGTGGAAGAAGTGGATGTCGGGCTTGCTCTGCTCCGAGTCCTGGCACACCAGCAGCAGCACAGACGGGTAGCGCAGCTGGTTCAGCACCGTCTGGCTGCGCTGCACAGTGGGCAGCGGGAAGTTCTCCAGCTCCTCCTGCGGGACACGCCACACGCCTGGTACTCACCCGGGGCCTGGGCACCAGCAGTACGTGCCTGGAGTTGTGGACGTGCCTGGAGCACAGGCCCTCAGACACAGCCAAAGGGAGGGCGAGACCTCAGACGCGCCCACGCCCCGAGGGTGTGCAGCCGGCAGACCAGGCTTCCGAGCTCCCCTGTGCTCTCGGCTCCGTGCGGCCCTCCCTGCCCAGCCTGGTCCCAGCCTCTTTCAGGGACCAGATGATGGGAAATGGCTGCCCCCGCAGAGAGGCCCAGACACGCCTCTGGGCGGCAGCGGGTGGCAGCCACTGCCTCTACCCACTGTGCCTATACCCACCAAGCCTCCACCCCCCGCCGCCTCCGCCCCCCGCCGCCTCCGCCCCCCGTGCTCCCTGCCCTCAGGGCTGGCCCCACCTGAGACTCGATGTCCAGCAGCCGCAGGGACTCGCCGTCCACCCGCAGCAGCATCTCCTGGGTCCAGATCTTCTCCTTGGAGCTCAGCTGCACCAGCTTCCGGATGGCGTCGTCCACAGACGTGATGGCTTCGCTCTTGTCCATGATGAACGTGGCCAGGTGCTGGGGGCGGGCGGGTGGTCACTTCGGGGCAGAGCCCTCCTTGTGCTGAGAGCCCAGCCCCCAGGGGCCACGGCCAACCCTGGGTTGGACAGTAGGAGGGGGACCCAGCCCCGCTTTTGGTGGGGGGAGTCTCTATGCAGCCATGAAATCTGTGGAGACCACACTTGTGTCCAGACAATACCCTCAGAAGAATTCCTACTGCTGCCCGGCCCCTCGCAGCTGACCTCACCGGCCACCTCCCCTCGCAGGCTCAGCCCCCACCCCCTGCACCTGCTTCCCCGCCTCCACAGCACTCTCCCTCCTCAGGCGTCCCCTCCCTGGCCACCCGGCTGCAATGCCGGCTGTCACCCCAACCCCGACCCTGAAATGAACCCAGCGTCGCGCTGCACATGGCCTGCTGTGAGGCCGCCTGCTCGCCACTCCAGGGCAGGGTTCCGGCGGCCACTTGCTGAGCTGTGTCCCAGGTCCAGGGCAGAGCCTGGTGCACAGTGGAGGACCCTCAACAAGAGCGTGCTGGATGCGTCCGTCCCTGAGGGTCCGCAGCCAGCCCAGCCCCACCCTGCCCTCCACCTCTCCTCTTTCCCGGCCTGACTCAGGCCCCTCCTGCAGCCAAGCTCCCCGTTCGCAGAGTAAAACCCTCCCACGAAGGATTGACCATTCGGTGCACGATGCTGGCACAGCTGGATAAACACTGACGTGAACTGCGGGACAAAGACAACCGTAAAACGCAAAACAAAAGCTCACGCCTGTCGTCCTAGCCTTTGGGAGGCCCAGGCGGGCGGATCACCTGAGGTCAGGAGTTCGATCCCAGCCTGGCCAATATGGTGAAACCCCGTCTCTACTAAAAATGCAAAAATTAACCAGTCATGGTGGCAGGTGCCTGTAATCCCAGCTACTCGGGAGGCTGAGGCAAGAGAATTGCTTGAACGTTCAGAGGTTTTGTTGAGCCGAGATCGCACCACTGCACCCAGCCTGGGTGACAGAGCGGGAGACTCTTTCAAAAAAAGCTTGTGAAGAACATACCAGACGATGGGCCGGGCGTGGTGGCTCACGCCTGTAATCCCAGCACCTTGGGAGGCCGAGGCGGGTGGATCACGAGGTCAGGAGTTCGAGACCATCCTGGCTATCACAGTGAAACCTCGCCTCTACTAAAAATACAGAAAGTTCACCAGGTGTGGTGGCGCACGCCTGTGGTCCCAGCTACTCGGGAGGCTGAGGCAGGAGAATCGCTTGGACCTGGGAGGCGGAGGTCGCAGTGAGCCGAGGTCATACCACTGCACTCCAGGGCAACAGAGTGAGACATCGTCTCAAAAAACGAAAACAAAAACAGATGTTGGCCGGGAACAGCGGCTCACCCTGGTGTACCCCCAGCACTTTGGGGGGCTGAGGCGGGTGAATTCCTTGAGCAAGAGTTTGAGACCAGCCTGGGCAACACAGCGAGACCTTGTCTCTACAAAAGATGAAATAATTATCCAGGTGTGGTGGAGCCGCACCGGCAGTCCCAGCCACTCAGGAGGCTGAGGTGGGAGGATGGCTGGGCCTGGGCGACGGGGGTTGCAGTGAGCTGAGATCTCGCTCCAGCCTGGGTGACAGAGCAAGACTGTCTCAACACAAAACAAACAAAAAAAACCTGGATGATTTCTGATCACCTCAGAAAGGGCCTCTCAACAGGGTGCTTTGCTAAGTGAGAAGGAAAATCCAGTTGCTCAAAAGAAAAGACCAATAAATTTGACCTAATTTTTTTTTTTTTTTGAGACAGTGTCTTGCTGTTGCTGCCCGGGCTGCAGTGCAGTGGCGCGATCTCAGCTCACTGCAACCTCCGCCTCCCAGGTTCGGGTGATTCTCCTGCCTCAGCCTCCCGAGTAGCCGGGATTACAGGTGTGCACCACCACGCCCAGCTAATTTTTGTATCTTTAGTAGAGATGGGTTTCACCATGTCAGCCAGGGTGTTCTCGGATTCCTGACTTCAGCTGATCCGCCCGCCTTGGCTTCCCAAAGTGCTGGGATTACAGACGAGCCACTGCACCTAGCCGACTTAATTTTTAAAAAGTTTCTGCCCAGAAAAAAAAGTACCATATGCAAAGGGGGAAATAAACCCACACAACAAAATTTAAAAATGGGAAAAACACAGGTAATAGATACTAATTTTCTTACTATAGAAAAAGATCAATACGTGCATTAAAATGATAGTTCTTGGCCGGCTGTGGTGGCTCACACCTGTAATTCCAGCACTTTGGGAGGCCGAGGCAGGCTGATCACCTGAGGTTGGGAGATCAAGACCAGCCTGACCAATGTGGAGAAACCCCATCTCTACTAAAAATGTAAAATTAGCCAGGCATGGGCTGGGCGCGGTGACTCATGCTTGTAATCCCAGCACTTTGGGAGGCTGAGGTGGGCAGATCACCTGAGGTCAGGAGTTCGAGACCAGCCTGACCAATATGGTGAAACTCCGTCTTAAAAAAAAAAAAAAAAAATTAGCCAGGCATGGTGGCTCTTGCCTGTAGACCCAGCTACTCGGAGGCTTAGGCAGGAGAATGACTCCAAGCCTGGGGGCAAAGGCTGCAGTGAGCCGAGATCACGCCACTGCACTCCAGCCTGGGCGACAGAGCGAGACTCCGTTTAAAAAAAAAAAAAGCCAAATCATGTAAGCTTTCACCGTAAGCAGGTAGAAAAGTGAATCAAACAAAACCCAAAGTGTGGCAGGTAGGAAATGAAGAGGAGGTGCACGCGCTGGCACACAGACTGATGACGGAGACACACCAGCAGCGCCCAAAGTTAGTTATGACATAGTTAATAAAGCTGACCGGGCGCTGTGGCTCATGCCTGTAATCCCAGCTCTTAGGGACACAGAGGCAGGAGGATACCTTGAGCCCAGCAGTTTGAGGCCTGCCTGGGCAAGATAGCCAGACCCCATTCTCCACAAAAAAAAAAAAAAAAAAAAAAAAAAAAAAAAAAAAAAAAAAAAAAAAAAAACCCACCACCAAACTGGTAAATTCCTGGCAAGCCTGATCAAGAAAAACACTACAGAAAACAAGGATTCGCAAAAACCAGAATGAAAGAGAGGACATCACCACAGATCTTACAGGGAGGGAATTAATAGCTAAAACCTTCCCGGTAAGAAAATCCTGCACTCCCAGGGTGTCACGGGCAAATCCTAACGACTACCTAAGGAAGACACAATAACAAGCGTTCACAAACTCTTCCTGGAAACAGAAGCGGAGGGAATACTTCCCTGCCCATTTTATAAAACCAACATAACCCTGCCACGAAACCTGCCACAGGCATCATAAGAAAACTACAGACCAATGCCAAGAACGGCCACCAAAGCAAAACTTCCCCAACAACAACCTCACCACATTAGCTCCTCAGCACACGACAAGTACAGCACGCGGAACAAATGAGGGTGAGGCTGGTTCAACGTTCCAAACAGTTGGCGAGGCTCACTACGCTGAAACTCTGTCTCCGAAATCACAGTAAGATAAAACGGATCCCGACCCTAAAAGCAGAAGCCTACACGGTGAAGCGTCCAAGAGAAAACACCGGAACTTCCACACTGAATTCCTAATTTGCAAAAAATAAAAGAAAACACAGAAGAAATCTCCACAAATTTGGTCAAGGAACGATTTTTTTTTTTTTTTTTTTT